CCTGTTGACAAAGTCTGCGAACAGAATCTGACGGCAGACTGGCAGCAGATTGCGCGCAGATCCTGTCGTTTCGTAGGTTTTTCAATTAAATTTTTGGTAGAAAATTTTCTAATAATTTTTCCTAATTACTCATATAATAAGCGCTTTCTCATAAATACTTGTTTCAATCTGCCCTGGATGTTGAGCGGCCGGTTCGTAATGTCGTCGAACTGCCGTCGACTGCTACCGTTGATCGCGCGAGTATAAGCTCGTGCTCTCCTATCCAGGAGCCTCGTAAGGTGTTCTGAGGAAACAGCTAGCGTGTTTTTGTGTGCAAGAACACGACGTGGTGCTTGTACCCGCGTAGAGTTGCCCGGCGTCTCCGCGCTGGGAAGTAATTCTCCTTCCGGAGGATAGTATACACTCGGTATATGGAGACGGTTACTCGTCTCCACTAGTGAGCGTTGAAGTCAAGTCCGAGTACGACTCAGCTCAATGGGTCGCTGGTGCGACAGAAACTGAGTTCTGAACTGAGCTGTATCAGCGAGCTGGGCTCGCGTGATAAGTCGCATCTGCGACAAAGGCTAAGTCTCGTAGGGACTTAGAGGCGAGTATAACTCGCATGTTGGACCGCGTGTGCGGCGGCGGATAAGTCTCGCGTCGACTTATACGTGAACGTGGCTCGTGTCGATAATGCCGCGTGTGCAACTAATGCTAAGTCTCGCTGGAACTTAGAAGCGAGTGTACCTCGCGTATTGAGTCGCGTAGGCGACGGCGTATAAGTCTCGAGTCGACTTACCGATGAGCGTGGTTCGCGTGAGAGCTGCGTCCCTAGCAACGACTAAGTCCTAAGTAGACTTAGTGACGAGCGTGGTTCGTGTGAGAGCCGCGTCCATGGCAACGGGGGAGTTCCCGAAAAGAACGAAGACTCGCGGCGGAGTCGTGAGCCCGACACGCGTTCTGTCGAACTGATGCCTGGTATATGCAATACGAGAGATGTCGCGAAGGGAAGCGTCCACCGCGGTGGAGGCTTCGAGGTAATCCGAAATGGTCGCGCGAACCCTTCTCGCAAACGCCGATTGTATCGAGAAGGTGGAGATCCGTGGAGTTACCAAAATACTTCGTACCAAAAAGCCAACGTGTCTCAGACACTCTAAAGGCAATGTGCAAGAGCACTCAAAAGGCGATATCCAGCTAGGTGAAGTTCAAAAGAATACCTCAACGAGGCAGTGACCTGATGTGTGACCGCAGTCAAAAAGCCTTCGTACCAAAAAAGCCAACGTATCATAGACACTCTGAAGGCAATGTGCAAGAACTCTAAAAGGTGATATCGAACTAGGTGGAGTACCAAAAAAATACCTCACTGAGGCAGTGACCTGACGCGCACCGGCAATCAAAAAACCTTGAGTGGTCTCGCGCGGCGCCTTATATAGGCGCCTAAGTGAAATTTAACCGCGAGTGACGGCTCCGGGTGACGCCGTCGCCACGTCGCGGCGGCGGAACGAACCGGCGGTGAGAGACCGGCGCCCGCGAGTCGGGCGGCTCCTAGCACTCGGCCGTCCGTCATACACGTTCAGTACGAGCATGCAGGCACCGTACTGAATACTCGTAAAATACAATGAAAAAAAAAGTTTTTCTATATTATTTTTAATTTTTAAGATTTTTTCTGGTGAGATTCGAACTTGAACTAAAGATATCTTTTGGATAATCGTCCGTTGCCTTAGACACTACGCCAATTCCTCACTTGGTAAAAAGCGCTTTATATTGCTCACTTAAAGTTTAAGGAAGAAAAATCTTAGAGTTTGTTTGCCTTTTAAACCGCAAAATATAGACAAAACCGTTTAGCCGTATAAATAATGTAAGAGAGACCGGCACGATAATTCTAAATTAATTTTCTACCAAGGACTGCATAGAAAATTACTACAATAAAACAGTAGATAATGACATTTTTCCATCATGTTAATAAAATACTATACTTTTACATATGCGAATTAATTTGGTTAATCGTCCCGTTCAGATTGTATTAAGTTGTATTAAGTTATCAAAATCGAAGAATAATATATTTTCAAATAAACTATCACAAAAATTCTGTAAAAGTTATTTACATAACGAAACTAATATTTTATTCGGTGCTGCTGCCTTCAATACTTATTGCATGACGGTTAAATCGTTCAGATTTAATGACATAATGACATAACAGTAAAAAAATAATAATATAAGAAATTGTATGAAAAATTATGAGAACAATTTTTACCAGGGATGGCATACGTACGTCTTTAAATGGCCATTTAACCGTTGTACTATTCTATACTTGTACTCATTATTTCTCTATTATTGTTGTTTTTTTTATAAAAAAAATGTGTAATACAATTTTAAAAAGTAAAAATTTTGTTTTTTATTGTGTATATGTGTACAATTATTGCACAATATAATTATCTTGACTCCTCTGCAGCAGTTTTACATGATGTGTATGTGAAACTGCCTCATTTAATAACGTACATATGACCCTTGATAGAATTAAATAGCCTATCTAGGAAACAGAATCTGCGCGCAGTCTGTCACCAATCTGTCGTCAGAACAGATTCTGCTTACAATCTGTTGCCATTCTGTCTACAAACACTCTTGACAGACTCTGTGTAAAATTTGCTCGCATAGGTTTGGCTATCTGGATAGAATATTGTATATATACCTATTACAACTTTATACTATATATTTTATTTTCCCATTGGCGGATACGATCTATCTGATGCATAACGTTTATAATATACTCAGAAAGAAAGAGAAATATATATTCCCGCACCGTGCTTCTGGGGCCGGACTTCTCTTCTTTTTAGCAATATAGTAGTATTACATATATGACATTGCTCACCCACTGGATGCGTTCAGCGAACTCAACAGTTCCACACAGTTGAACAATTCGTCAATGTAATTGGTCTAAATTTAGGGATCTAACAGTTAGGGTGCGTTCCCACTTAGCGCGTCACGCGTCGCGTTGTCCTACGCGGACCAATCAAATCGTCCCATTTTATTTGTCGTAAAATTAGGCAATAAAATAAAATGATTTGATTGGTCCGCGACCTTAGAGCATATATATAGAGGGGGAATGCTGGCACGAAAGGGTAAGCGGACAAAATCCATAAAAAGAGAGAGGATAACGTTGACAACGTTTAAAAGTCTGTAGGATCCATAAATTCATTTCTGAAGATTAATATCATTGTTGGACGTTAAAAGAGTATACAGAGGTGCAGAGTTAACCTGTCACAAATTTACACTTCTGTATACTCTCCTAACGTCCAACAATTATAACCTTCAAAAATAAATTTATGGATCCTAGAGACTTTTGAACGTCGCCAACGTTATCCCCTCTTTTTTTATGAATTTTGTCCGCTTACTTACGAAAATGTCTCCAAGATGTGTGCGAGAGAGAAAACTATACATTCCTAATTCTCTGTGCGCATGACAGATTAGATTATGTTATAGAGTTGACAAGAGATAAAAGTTATTTTTCTTCTCATAGAGCTCTGAAAATTTTTTCAGAATTTTGTATTAACTTTTTAGTACTTCAAGAAAATGCAAGAAAACGCAAAAAATGCAATACTAAAAAGTTAATATAAAATTCTGAAAAAATTCTCCGAGCTCTATGAAAAGAAAATAAACAATTTTTATCTCTTGCTATTTTTCGATAAAGTTGATAGAATTCAAGTAAAAAAATATTGAAACCAATAATTTTGTAGTCCAGCAACAACTGACGCATGTTGGCGCATGCGCACAGAGGAGGAATAAGAATGTATACCTTTCTCTCTCACACAGATCTTGGAAACACTTTTAGTTTACAGGAGGCATACGCAATTCCCCTCCATATAAATATGCTCTAATGGCTCCTGCACACAGGACGCGGTAATGCTTGCCGCACGGCGGAAGTTCGCGCGACAGCCAATCAATATGCTGCTTTCCGTAATAACCTTCTAGCTCTTACAGAAAAACAACATATTGATTGGCTGTCGCACGGACTTCCGCCGCGCGGCAAGCATTACCGCGTCCTGTGTGCAGGACCCATTAGGTGAGGGATCTTACGATACCTTAAAATAGATACGGCGCTGAGGTTACCACAGCGTTTGCTCAATGCGCGTGCGCGAAAATATATCCCGAACTCGCAGCACTGAGCGTGGCCAGAACATGAAACATTGGCTGCGTTCAACAAAGAAAGCTGCTTTGTAACTGTTGTAAAATTCGTGAATCTGATTGGTATATGCTTTTGGATTCAACCAAAATTAAAAGCGTGCTTCAATTAGATTCACGAATTTTACAACAATTGCAAAGCAACTTTCTTTGCTGAACGCAACCATTAGCTCGAAATGAGCTAATTCTATCGCATACGATAGAATACTATTCACATTTGTGAATAGTAATTACAAATTATCACAGTGTAAATTTTATTGTAATTATTTGTGCTGAACCGATCGAGCGCGTGTTATCACACGGACAGGCAGAAGCGTTTCTGGCCGGTATTCATAGTCGGATCTTATATTTAAGTCTGTCTTAAATTTATCTTCAGATATTCAATAGCCAATGAAATAATCCATACATTATCTCAAGATGAACTTAAACGGTCTTAAATGTAAGATCCGATTATGAATACCGGCCTCTGTGTGAGAAACAGTCGGTATTCATAGTCGGATCTTATATTTAAGTCTGTCTTAAATTTATCTTCAGATATTCAATAGCCAATGAAATAACCCATACATCATCTCAAGATGAACTTAAGACGGTCTTAAATATAAGATCCGATTATAGGCCTGTTCTTTGTAGCTGCACTACTGAACTAGTGCAATAAGTTAGAGTGAGAAAACGTATATTTGTTTCACTTCAATATATTGCACCAGTTCAGCAGTGCAACTACAAAGAACAGGCCTTATGAATACCGGCCTCTGTGTGAGAAACAGTCGGTATTGTCGTCGCGTTCTTCAATTACCTCCGGGCCCCTCAGGGCCCCTCTGGGCTCTTTGACCGGGTCGAAAATTTACCCAGGGCTGACAGTCTTTAGTAATATCTCGTCGATGGCTGACGTCAGTCAGTTCTGGAATAAAAAAGGCTTCAGTGAGCACTTCGTACTAGTGTAACCAGTACAGGAATGAAAAACAAATCTTATATATACCTGTTTTATTTTTAATATAGAAAGTGTAACACATATGCATAATGCAGCGCTAAAAAGACAAATTTCACAAATTTCTAATCAATTCAATGTTTAGAATTATATGTTCTAAAAATGCAACATTTAATTCTAATACCTCGGACATTGAAATATGTTTTGTCAAATATCGGCTTTCGCACGGTAGCAAGTACTTCACGTAACGTAATTTATAACAATAATAGCTTCGTAAAACTTTTACGACCTTTTCGACTTTACGTGACAAAAAAATCCTATTATGACAACAGATCGCAAGAAATAAAAAAATCTTATCTTGCTATGTATATGTTTTCTTTGTTTTCTTATTTCTTTCACGATGATGAAGAAGAGGATAAAGAAGTTTCAGCAATTATCAAAACAATTAAACAGTCTGTGTTATTAATACAGGTTAGAATTAAACATTAAGATCTGGTATTTATATCTTTGTATTTATATCTTACATGTTTTTATACATACGTATATTTAACCAATATAAAGTGGAATTGCAATATAAAATAAATCTTTAATTAAATCTTTTTCAGCAATCTTTGCTTTCTCTTTATAGAAGAACGAGTTTATGAAGGCAGAACAAATGCTACATATAGCCTTGCATCAAGCGCAAACCATACAGCATTATAATGCAATTACATACATTTATGATATAATGGCAAATCTTGCTTTTGATACTGGGGATTATCATGCAGCAGAAACTTTGTTTACAACAGTTTTGCAAAGGCTGATGTCAAAGGGAATTTTGGAGAGTGACTTGAAAGTTATTCATATAAGTCTAAAAATGGCTAAAATGTTTGAATTTAAGAGAGAAATGAAGTAAAGAATGTGTTTTAAAGATAATTTAACAAATTTTTTATTAAAAAGTTTTTTAACTTATTTGATTTAAAAAAAATAGAAGTAGTAATAGTGACAAAAGAGAGTAATATAATAAGAAATATATATATAAAAATATTAATAGTATATCTATTTTTGCATATTTTATAAATTTATTTTTTTCACTTAGGAAATCAGAACAGGGATACTTATTTTGTATAGGGCACTTATATTCATGTCTTAAAGAAGACCTAGAAAATATTGAAGCTGAGAAATTGCTTCTTCTAAGTTTTCGTTGGTACGCGGAAATGCTAACACAAAATTTGCGGTATACTGAAGCTTATGACTACTATCTTCAATCTTATAATTTATGTAAAAAGTTATATAGTGACGACAATGAGAAAACTGTTGTTGTGCTCAATGAATTGGGATATGCTTGTTATATGTTAGAAAAATATGATGAAGCTATGAAATATTTTTCTGCTGCATTAGAATTAGGTAATACAATAATTATGATTAATAATTAACTGCAAAGTAATATATTATAAGTTATATATGTTTCCAGGAAAAAACATACCAGATCTGCCTGAATTGTGTGCACTACATGTAAATCTAGGAAATACGTTTCTAAAAAAAGGTTTATACAATGAAGCAAAAAAATTTTGCTTGGAAGGTAGAAAAATAGCTAAGCAAAACAATGATAACAATGGATTATATGAAGCTGATGTATGTCTTGAGGAAATAAAAAAATTACTGTAAGTTATTAAAAAAATTAATCAGTTATTGGTACAAAACTTATTTTAGTTACAATATCATGACATTGTCTTTTGATATATATTTCTGACAACTTTTATATTAGCTTATAGGTATTGTTTCAAAAGATAAAAATTTTTCCAACGTAAAAAGGAAAGATGTATGGAAATTATTTTACTCTCTTCTTCTTTTAATACCTATTTTTATAATCTTATTTATTTTTTTAATAACTAAACTGATATAATGATATAATGAAATTGTGGATATGATATTGTATCTGAATACACATATACAATGGAATTGTGAAAAATACAAGGATATTTGAAAGGTATTTACATGTAAAAGATATATTCGTATTTAATTGAGTATTTCCAAATAAAATATGACAGATTGTGAATACATTCTTTTATAAGATAATCTGTGTTCTAGTATACTTAATGAAAATAACAGAATTGACATACAGAAGACATTTTTTATTTTCACTTCTGTAATATTATTTAGCAAATTATATGCCAAAGTTAAATGTGCAATAGCATTATTTGTAAGTCTCCAGTACTTATTTTTAAATTATTACATTTTACAAAATGTAATAGAATCATATTAAGATATATAATAAAATTGTGAAAAATATATAGATATGTGGAAACTTCAATACACATTTAAAAGATATGCTTATATTTAACTAAATATACTAACAAAATATTTTCAAGCATATAAGAAATTTATTATAAGAAAATTCAGTCTCTTGTAAGATGATCTATTTGTTTTAATATTTAATGAGAATAGCAGTTATTGGTAACTGTAATAACAGAAAAGAGATATTTCCTTCCTATAATGTTATTTAACAAATTGCGTGTTATATGTGCAATAGCTTATAAACTAAAATTACATATGCAATGGTAATATTTATATACTTCCAGTACTTATTTTATTACATTTTATGTTATTCAAGTACATAAATTTAATAGTAAGTACATAAATTTAATAGTAAGGAATCGCAGCTCAGTACTGTATAAACAACATATATATATATATATATATATATATATATATATATATATATATATATATATATATATATATATATATTATAAAACTACAATTGAATATATTTCAAACTTATCCTGAATATAAAATTATGAATTATATATAAAATTATAGAAGATGTAACATACATATTTTTTATATCTAACTTTTTCTTACAATTATTCTGTAGCAAATTATTCTAATATATCTTACATACAAAATAAATGAACTGATAAGTAGGAACAAATATATATGTGTAATTACATTGTTCGACGTAAAATTACATCGATTATTAAATATAGATCCTAGTTTACATATTTTAACAAAACTTATTTTAGTTACAATATCATGACATTGTCTTTTGATATATATTTCTGACAACTTTTATATTTGCTTATATTAGCTTATAGGTATTGTTTCAAAAGATAAAAATTTTTCCAACGTAAAAAGGAAAGATGTATGGAAATTGTTTTACTCTCTTCTTCTTTTAATACTTATTTTTATAATCTTATTTATTTTTTTAATAACTAAAATAAACGCAATAGATGTAGTGACCATAAAAAGTATTGGTATTCATTCCACTGGTATTTGTTTCTGCATGAAATTAAGATGTTATATATTTCTTCTTTAATATAAAGTATGATTGCAAAAAATATATTAATCTTTTGCAATGTATTCTACATGATAGAAATTTTCTTCTATGAGATTATAACGCATAAGAAAGAAATAAATTAAACGAGAACAATGCCTAGAAAACATGTTTTTCTATTCATAGTTTGCTATAAGAACCATCATATATACTCCAAAAAGAAGCGCAAGAATTTCTTTAACTGACTGCCAAAGCTTAGTGGCAGTCAAAAGTTCTGGTATTACAGAAACAGTTGCAATATAGATAAAACCTCCTGCTGTGAATGGAAGAATCCACTTTGTTGCAAGGTCACCTGGAATATGTGAGATAAAATTAAATAGGATGTGAATCCTCAAGATAAACATATTTATCCAAATTTTACGGCTATTTCTCACCCATTCCTTCTGCCAACAATGAAACAAAAGTTCCTAACAAAGCTCCTATAGCAGTTGTCAATTGCAACATCATAGCCTGCAAATAGAATGATAACAAGTTCACAGGATTTTTACAAAGTAAACTCTGAAGTAATGATAAACCATGAATAATTATTAATTAGATAAAAGCACTATCTTATTGTTATTTTTTTTACCTTTTTTTTACTATATCCACTTTGTATCAAGATTGCAAAATCGCCGATTTCATGTGGGATCTCATGTAATAAAATTGTGAATGTTGTTACATAACCAATACTATTTCCAGCCATATAACTAGCTCCTATAGCCAGGCCATCAGTAAAATTATGCAGAAAGTCTGCAACTAGGTTTAAATAACCAGCAATCTTTATATCAAGTTCAGCTGTCTCCTGTGTTTTGGTAACTGCTTCACTGATTCCTTTTTTTTCCTTCTCTAATAATGTATTTTCTTTCTTCTCAAATTTTTTTTGAGAAGCAGAATGAACATGTGAATGACTATGATCACCTTTGATGATACGTACTGCCTTTTCTACTATTAGAAATACAATTATCCCCAATAATACACACAAACCAACAGACATGTCGTGATGTTTGTGATGTTCAGATTCATCGCCATCATTGTGGCTGTGAGAATGCGAATGAGAATATAAATTCTCTTCTGAAGAAGAGTCGTGTGAATGTGGAACTAGCGCATGAGGGATCAAATGAAGAAATGCATCTCCTAATAAACCACCAGATGCAAAGCTTAGTAAAATTTTCAACAACGATTCACGTTGCTTTGTGTTGTCCAATGGCACAAAAAATAATATGAAGAAAGGCGCAGCAGATATAATTAAAGTTGAACCAACAGCTCTTAAAATTATATCCTTATGATCCTTATGATAAATATTTGTCTGTGGAGCGGTAGAACGCTTATGAACGTGGCTATGATCGTGCTGATGTTCATAATGTATATGTTGCTGATGTTGTTGATTCGTATAGATCTCGTTAGCTTTCTTAGAGTACTTGTAACTCGGTGATTCGTCGTGTTTATGAAATTTACAAATGGTCGGCATATCCAGTATAATTAACGCGAAGAACGCAGCAATTACTATCCTCGAAATCCATTTGTTGCGCGCGGTAGATTGTTGGTTAACTATCACTGTCATAATGACCTTTTATGATTTCGTTGACACGATTGAAATATCTTTCCTCGTTGATATGACCTTGACATACGTGCCTGCACAAAAGTACAACGTGATTTAAGTTTTGTTTAAGAAAATATGTCAGACAATCACGTATGCTTTCGACTAGGGTTGGGCCTTTGACTATATAAGTATGGACTGCCAGTTGGCATTCTGACGCTGTAATCAACCACAGATGTCTATATATACTAGATCGCTAAGTTGGGGCTTTGACATATGTAAAGGCTGTGACCGGCCGGATATCCGATTCGGCCATGACACCTTACAACAAAATGACCACTCCCGCTTTGTTCAATTACTGTATGAGACGTACAAGAATATTTTTATTTCTTTTTCAACTGTAATAAAATCAAATTTGTTACTGTCAATATGTAAAAAAATATTTATAACATTAATAACATTTATTGTTATAACGGGCACAGAAAATAATAATAAAACGTTAATGTTATTATAGTAAAAAATATAGTTATTACAATAAGTGCATACAACGCAGTATTATATTTGTAAGTATATATATATATATATATATATATATATATATATATATAAATAATAGATTAATAAAGTTTTTAATATATGATATAATTAACATCTGTATTATTCACTTATGGTTTCAATATACTTTTCTATTAAACTGCAGGCCTAGCAAATGCAACAAGCTAGTGCCAAACTCAATCGAAGTACAAGATTCAAAAGAAATATTGACATCCGCAACAGGAACAGGATTAATAGCCGGAGCAGAAAATACGGAGAAGCCACAGCAAGATTTTTTAAACGCACACCGCTTGTGTTAGGTTTGTCCATAAAATCTGTTGCTACGAAGTGAACACTAAAGATTAAATGGCTTTTTTTGTGTAAAGTTTTTTCCGATAACTTTGACCCACATTTTTCAAATATTTGGTCGATTCATAGGAAATCTGAAATATTTAGAAATTTTAATTGAAACAACCTTCAAATATTACAAACTCTCATATTTATTACATGTAAATACCTTCAACTTATCTGAATAAATGAAAACCATCTTTTGTAGTGTTTTTACATTTCGGAATGCAACAACTACTCGGCATTTTTATGTATTTTCACTTATAATTGTAAATATCACCGCGCTATACATATTGGGTGTTTACGATAATTCGAGTTGGAATTAGTACGAGTTATGGCTCCTGCACACAGAACGCGGTAATGCTTGCCGCGCGGCGGAGTCCGCGCGACAGCCAATCAATATGTTGTTTTTCCGTAAGAGCTAGAAGGTTATTACGAAAAGCAGCATATTGATTGGCTGTCGCGCAAACTTTCGCCGCGCGGCAAGCATTACCGCGTCCTGTGTGCAGGAGCCATTAGTTTCACTAGGACCGAAAAATATATAGTCACAAGCATCTAGTATTTTCATGATTCATGACAACTCAATGTTGTCCGATAAATCGAGTAGAGTTAGGGCCGTGGCACACAGAAAAACTTAAGGGACGTCTATATTGGAAGTAAGCAGTAAGAAGTAGGAAGTAAGAATAAGAGATGGACCAATCATAGTTGATTATTCTTCTCACATTCGACTGTGGTTGGTCAATTTCTTACTCTTACTTCCTACTTCTTGCTATTTACTTCCAATGTAGACGTCCCTTTACTGCTTAAATTTTTGGGTGTATATCAGTTGGACACGGGGCAATTGGACACAGTCCAATCACAAGTCGCTGTTCCAAGGGACCCTACAAATGTCTCTAATCATACGGTGCTGTGATTGGCTGTGTCCAGATGCACCGTGTCCAAGTGCACCGCTCCCAAATTTTTCTGTATGCCACGGCCCTTATAGCTCCTGCACACAGAACGCGGTAATGCTTGCCGCGCGGCGGAAGTTCGCGCGACAGCCAATCAATATGCTGCTTTCTGTAATAATCTTCTAGCTCTTACGGATAAACTACATATTCATTGACTGTCGCGCGCACTTCCGCCGCACGGCAAGTATTACCACGTCCTGTGTGCAGGAGCTATAACTCTACTCGATTTATCGGACAGCATTGAGTTGTCATAAATCATGAAAATATTAGATGCTTGTGCCTATCATATTTCTCGGTCCTAGTGAAATTAACTCATACTTACTCCAACTCGAATTATCGTAAACAGCCCAAAATATGCTTGGTATCACATATGCACTATACAGGGTGCGTTCGGAGAGCTCGCTATTAGCACTGTGTATTCAGCGCTACTGTGTCATTCTGTCCTTGTTGTACACTCGTGGTCTAAAAGGTTTGTGTACCGATTTTTTGTAGATTTCGGAACGCGTCCCAACTTCAGGGTAGCGATCATGAATCTTTCACGTGAACTTCATTTTCATTTTTCACTTTTCACTGTAAGTTATTTCACATGAAAAGTGAATAATGAAAATGTGAAAAGCAATATTTATGTAATATAGATTATTAAAATAAAAATGTAATTACAGTATACACAATGTAATATATAACACATTAATAAGCATTATACAACTTAAATTTATAGTTATAATATAATATAATATAATAATACAATATGAGTAAATTTAATAAATGAAACGAACGTTAACCGTGAAAGGTAAATTCTCTAAACGTGAAATATTTCACGTGAACTTTCAGTTTACTCGTATATGTTCTTCTTTACATGTAAATTGTGTAAGTTTTCATGAAAATTTTTAAGCATCAAGCGATGTGGTTTGAATGTGAAAAATAATGTAATACTATACTCGCATATTATGTACAAAGTCGAATTTTTTATAGTGACTTTAATTTTTATAGTTATACGACAATTGGCATTTGACATAAGAATCCTACGTCCATTAAAAATGAACAATGAAAGCCAATTGGAGCGTGATGACGTGTAGGCAGTGAAAGCATACCGACGAAATTTGCAAAGTTAAGATACGTATGCATCAGAAAGTTAAAGTGTAATACGAGGGCTGTTTGATAAGTCAGTGACTTTTTGAATAAAAGATATTTTTTTCGGCAAATAAGCGTGTTATTTTTCAACATAATCTCCTTTTAGCTCGATACATTTAGTCCACCGTTTTTCCAATTTATTTTATTTCTTCCAAATAATAGGTTTTCTCAAGGCCCTCAAAAATAGGCGTTTGTTTCGGTGATGACCTCTTCATTCGACCCAGCCAAATCTCTTACCACCCAGCCATTTCTTCAGGTTTGGAAACAGGAAATAGTCGCAGGGGACTAAATCTGGAGAATATGCTGGATGGGGTAGCAGTTCGTAGCCCAATTGGGAGCGGTGCACTTGGACACGGTGCATTTGGACACAGCCAATCACAGCACCGTGTGATTAGAGACATTTGTAGGGTCCCTTGGAACAGCGACTTGTGATTGGACTGTGTCCAATTGCCCCGTGTCCAACTGATATACACCCCCAATATAAACCTTAAAGTGAAATAGTGTTTCAAAATGACTTCCAACGAGAGTAACAAAATCAGAGTAACTCTGCAAGATGTTACAAATAATAAAATGTATACACTTGTTGTTACATCAAATGAGGCAAAACGTGTAGAAACAGGTAAGTTTAGAACACCTCTCATAAAAATTTATTATTTTTGTTATTAAATCATATTTATTTTGAGTAATAAAGCACTGTCCAACAGTAATTAAAAAAAAAATAAGTAATATTTCAGCAATACTAGTAATACATTTGATGAAGGAAACGGACTTTCTCACAAATTTATCTAAATCTTCATATTTTGTTGTATAAAACATGAATATTATATGAAAGTTAAAATCGTTGATCTTAAATAAAACAAAAGTTATAAAGTGAAAAGTTATTAAAATGTGACTTAAATACTTCATCATTGTATAATGGTACAATCACTTCCACATAGTTTTTTAATCAAGGTATTGTTTTTTTTTTTATTGATTCAATCATTACGGATAAATACTTTTTTAATTCTTCTTTATATAAGTTATTTGTTTCGTTATCATCAAAAACATCTATTAAAACTAATATTTGAGCAAATACACAAACAATTTCCTTATCTTTATCCTCCATTTTTACGTTCACAATTGCTTACAACAGCCAAAGGAAACGGTTTTGATCTTTTCGATGAGTGCGCTTAGAAATCAAAGTAACCGGGCAAAAATAGCGCTCATAAGCGTGAGCGCTTTCAGAATGGCTGCATTCAGCAGACTCAACAGTTGCACAACAGTTGAGTAATTTGTCAATGTAATTGGTCTAGATTTAGGGATCTAATAGCAAGAACCAATAATCGTTGATTGCTCACTGAGCGCTTTTTCTACTGAATGCGCCCTATGTGAACGTCCAAAACGAATGCACCCATGGGTGCGTTCGAAAACACTGAAAGTCCACGACGGAAAGTGGCTGTGGTGGATGGGCTTGGTGGGGTTAGTGGAATTGGTATCGAGAGGAGTTTTCGAACAGCCATGGAAGAATGCTCAATGTGACATACTACATGTATGTTGTGCCTACATATGTGTTGTACAAAATGGCTGATCGAAAGCGTATTTCGACATTAGCTATAATTGCTTCTCAGCAAAATAATAATAAATTAATAAATTTAGTAATTAATTAATTAATTAATTTAGTAATTATTAATTTATAATTTAGTTATCTGGAAAGTTAATTGGCTATATATTCCTCGGTCCGAGAACTCGGATCGATTTCTAGCATCGTGGGCACCAGGCCTAAGGAAATTTATAAACTTATTTATTACTCCTTACCTTTAACATCGTATATATAGACATTTCCCTTGTCATCCTTTTGTATATTTTTTTAAATATCCATGCATAAAATATGACGACCCGGGATTAAATTTTCCATTTTTTTTCACAAATTGTTACTGATTCGTGACTTTTAACGTGCCTCGTATCTCGTAAGAAAATTTCAGAACCTATAAAATACAAAAAGCTTAATAAGCTTTATTTATATTTAAAGACAATATTCTGACAATATACATCACTATAGAAATAAATCTAAACCTGGCTAACTGCTGTATTTAAATTTTTTATCTTACCGTGATGGCTAATGGTTGTACGAATGTTTCGAAGAACAAAAAACCATAAATAATTTAGTAATTTCATACTGTATTGCACTCTTTGCGCACTCTCCACCATCTCCACCGATTCACACCGCGCAAAAGAGAGTGGAGAAAAGTCACACGAGTGGTCCACGGAGTACGGTTTTCAAACGGCCATGGTCGCATGGTCAGTGTGCCCACTAGGGGTTTTCGAACGATCTGAGTGTGACAAAATACACACGGGTGATGTTTTCGAACGCACCCCAAGCCCATCCACCACAGCCACTTTCCGTCGTGGACTTTCAGTGTTTTCGAACGCACCCCTGAGTGTGACAAAATACACACGGGTGATGTTTTCGAACGCACCCCATAGTATAGACATCTGTGGCTATAGAAGTTCTCTTTCTGTAAACTCTTATATCCTATGACTAAAAGCCCGGGCTTAGTAAAGTTCGGTCGTAGAAATCAAATTTGCCTGCACGAGTATTTGCTAAACAGTTTCTTTAATATTTATTGAAATGTCTCATAATAATTTGAAGTCCGTAGGACATGGATATTGTGAAGCTATTTTTTCAACTGCGCCGATCAACTCTAACAAGGAAAATACTGTTCCTGCGTTAAAAAGGTAAGCAATTTTTATTTCATACTGTTTAACTTATAAATCGTTGCATACATCACTTGACGGTTAAAAATTTTTATTTATTGTTAAGATAAAAATTACGTATAGTATAATGTTATAAAATGAAGTAAACAAAGTTAATGACAGTTTTTACGTAATATAAGACAAAAATATATTTTTTTTATTTGGAAACATCTCAAAATAATATTTCTTATTTTTAATCCCTTTTATATTGTACAATTTTATTTAATTTAAATTTTTTTCTTATATTTGAAAGTTTATATAAATATTGCTTTCGTAAAGAATAGTTGTAAGTAAGATAATGATTTTTGTATATGTTGTATGTATTACAGTAGAAAAAATTTATGTTCATCCTTGTCCAATGAACCATTTGTTCCAACCAAAAGTCAAAACACTAGTAAAAAGGCACAATGTCCCATGCAAAAAGCACCATTAAAACACGAAATGACAGAGATCACAGGATTTTCAAATAAGTCATCTAATATAGAAGTATCCTGTTCCAAATCTACTAATACAGCGAAGCAAGAAAATACAGCCTGCAATAATGTTGTATCCAATGAAAAATTGAAGACTCCTGTCAGAACAAAGCACACAAGTGGCTTGTTTAATGATAAGACATCAGTTGTACAGTTTTGTACATCTAAACATAAGACAACAAATACACCTAACACTAATACAAAATTCAGTATTTTACCAGCTACAAGGACACCTGTAAAACGTTATTTTACTGATCAAATTTTATCACGAAGTACACCTGATTGTTTCAATACAGTTCATATGGAAACACCAGGTACCAAAATTGATGATATAGTGGTAGCAGAACAAACAATGTATGAAGGTGAAAACAGTAATCTTACTGTGGGGATACGCATAAGGCCTTTGAATTCCAAGTGAGTATAATATATACAATAATAATTTAAAAGATTCTATTTTAATAGTTATCATATGTTGAATTATTTTACTTTTGATATTAATCACAATGTACAACAAATTTTTATCATATTATAAGTTATCTTCTAATTATGTATGTGTACATGTATCTAAGATAAATATTTATATTAAACTAATGTTTTAATATAATACTCTAACTAATAATAATAAAAGAGATTCTATCTTAATTGTTATCATATTATAAGTTATCTTCTAATTATGTATATGTGCATATATCTAAGATAAATATTTATATTAAAATAATGTTTTAATACTCTAACTAATAATAGTAAAAGAGATTCTATCTTAATTGTTATCATGTTTATACCATCATGTTTATATCATCATGTTTCAACCAAGATCACTATCAAGAGTATTTTTGTTAAGATTCCTTTGTTTTATTTTTAGTGTCTGTTATGAAGATATGTACTTATTACACATTAGTTACAATAGTTAATTTTTCATTACTCACAATATCTGAATATATTTTTAGGGAGTTGAATGACCCAAAAATTACATCAGTTGTGCAAGTAAACGGCCAGAATGTCTTAGTGGAATGTGAGTCAGCCCATCATACTTTTATGTATGATCACTGCTTTATTTCGTACCCTGATGTACACACACCTGGTCACACCAATCAGGAATTTGTGTTTCACAATATGGTGTTACCATTAGTGCAAAATGCTTTCGAAGGTTACAATGTTTGTTTGTTCGCTTATGGACAGACAGGATCTGGAAAAAGTTACAGCTTAATGGGCACAGAATCCGCACAGTTCGGCACGATGCCGTTTGACGAGAAAGTCGGTATTATACCAAGATTTTGTCAGGAAATATTTATGCGAGCATGTAACAATGTGCAAATTGAGACCACTGTAGAGATTAGTTATTTCGAGATATACAATGAAAAGATACACGATCTCCTAGCGAGCACGAGTAACGGATCGAAAAAGGCTCCTCTTAAAGTGAGGGAACATCCTGTTTTCGGCCCCTATGTCGTAGATTTAAGTCAACACTGTGTGCAAAATTATAAGGATTTGCAGGTATTTTTACAATTTCATAACAAACGTCATAATCATAATTGCTTTTTAATTGTAATTTTATTTCTCTTTTATACAAAATTTTCTTTTTTTTTCTTTTTTTTTTTTTTAATCTCTAATTTAAATAAACTCAAGTTGCTAACTTTCCTATCGTTTAATAGAGATTAATCATTTTTTTTTATAGAGGAGCAAAATTTTTAAGATGTATTCCTTTTATAGAATATTATATGAATATCTTCTTAATGCAACACATTTTTCAGGCTTGGCTTAAAGTGGGAAACTCTCAGAGAGCGACAGCTGCAACTGGTATGAACGAGAAAAGCTCACGATCTCACAGTATTTTCAGTATTATATTAACACAAACACAGTCGGATAACCAGTTGGATTGTAAGTCACTCGATGCCAATCGTCGTAGCAAAATCAACTTGGTCGACTTAGCTGGCAGCGAGAGATTGAGTCAAACTTCTGCAACTGGTGATAGGTTGAGGGTTCGTTTCTGATATAACAATATTATTTAAACTACACGTTAAAAAATAATTATTAGGTTTATTAAATTAATAAAAAATAATTGATCTGTTCAACAGGAAGGTGTATCTATTAATAAATCTTTGCTCACCTTGGGGAAAGTTATCGCATCATTGACGGAGAATATGAACAATCGTAAGCAGGGTTTTGTGCCGTATCGTGAGTCAGTACTGACATGGCTACTAAAGGTAAGTACTATTTTATTCATTTACAAATTGCGTGTTATAATTATTTTTAATGAAAGCAAAATTTATATCCGACGAATGCACATTTTCATAAAGAATAAGAATCTAAAGATGAAGTACAGAGACCTCTTTTAATTGAATAAATCTTTTTTAATTATGGTTTTATTTATAAAATATTAAATATAACCACCGATAGTAATTAAAGATTCTCTTAATGAAATTTATTAATTGGGGAGATACAGAATATAGTTAAAAAAGATAGTATGATACATATTTAAATTTGTATTATCATTAATAAACATATATTTCTTTCTTATTTAATATTTCCGACTAATAATATTACTCAAATGCAAACATATAGAGTGAAAACTGTGACAATAATATAATTTATTATATATGATAAGACAGTTACTTATATAATAATAAAAATATGACATAACATAAAACAGAATAGGTGTAATAGTATATCATCTTAATTTTGATGTGATGCTCATTTATAACATTTATAGTCATGTTTTTAATGATAATATGTTATCCTTGGGATCTAAGTACAATGTATAACATTAATATTTTATATTATGATGCCGATGTATTATATATTCTTAACTTGGCTATACATCTTAAATGTACGATTGTATTATTCAGTCTTATGTTGTGTACATCAAGCAACGAATTATGAGACGTTCGTTATGTTGAACAATGAATTCTTTTTAAATAATGAAATTGAGTTTTTGTACGATTGTATTTTGCGATATAATAACAAAATTTAAGTATAATAAAAATATAATCTCTTAATTATTTTTCTACTTATCGGGAGAAAGAATCCATTTGAATCCACATCTATTTCTGAAAATATTGCTCATTTTTTAAATAATAAGGAAGCAAAATTCTTACTGCATGCGCATCTGTATTATAAGACAGAAAGTTATAAAAAGAAACCTTGAAGAAACTTTTTGTACTTTTATTAAAATATATTTTCCGTACACAGAGATAGATCCAATGGTATGATGAAACAAAAAAATAATCAAAATTATTAAATTTAATAACTAAATTAATAATTATTATAAAATTTAATAATTATTAAATTATTAACTTTAATAATTATTAAATTATTAACTTTAATAATTATTAAATTATTAACTTTATTATGCACGTACTTATACGTTATGCTTCTTAAAAATTATTAATATTTTTATTACTATTAACTACAATTATTTTCACTCCTTTATGGCGCGGAATGTTTTCGCGGGTTTATTTCGTTCGGCATTTGCGACTTTTTTCTGATTGTCTATTATACCTTCTTCTTTTACACTTGCTATATGAGATAGATTAGAGAGTAAAATTCAAAATTTGTAATTATAATCATATCTTTATTTGAATAATTCAGTTCGCGCAAGCATGCATTGATACGATTGTTTAAATTCACCTGAGATCATAGTAGTCTTTGTAAAATAGGCATTTAAAAATGTGTACGAAAATATAACATTTAAAAATGCGTATAAAAATGTGAATTTAATAATTCAATACGTCTCATCTCAAATTCGGATATTTTTTCTTTCTTTTGAGATATTTATACGAATAATATGATAATGTTGTGTATATGTTGTAGCATATTTACATTATAATTTATATATTTATCAGGCGACTAGGACGCAGGTAAAACTTACTATTTATAATGAAGCGTACCCGGCATGTGTTTTTGTACATTAGATATATCTAAAATTTTCACAATTTTCATAGGAAAATTGAAGCATACTCGCTGTTATACATTTCTCACTATGAAAATTATTTTAGAATTGTTTTAACGACTTATACTATTAGATATATTTTAACGACTTATATACTATTAGATATATTTATGCTAATAATGTGTATATATATATATATATATGTATATATATATGTGTGTGTGTGTGTGTGTGTGTGTTATTAACATAAATTGTACATTGTGCATTCGGACGATATAAATGGAATACTTTTATTGCGATTGACTTCCTATCGACAATCTATTAATTTCAATGTATCTATGAGAAATAAAACTATTCCAGCATCAGAATTTGTACTGTAAAATATCGCAATATTTGTATGTGTTATGTATGTACTTGTATTAATTATGTAATAACTAACGCAAGTATGTACATAGTACATAAAATTGGCAATAATCGCAATAAAATATTCGCTTATAATTATTTATACTCTCAATATAAATTCATACAATATAAATTCATACTCTCAGTATAAATATTGATATGATTATAGTTTTAAAATTCTATTTACCGAATTCTCTCGTCTAATTTTTTTTTCTTATTTTTTTTCTGAAAGTTTCTGAAAAAATTGTTTATTATTAGAAAAACAATTTTTTACTTTTAAAAACAATGAAGAAATCGTATTCTCTGAAACAATATAGTTGTACATGCAACTGTACTGTAAATCAGAACATTAAGAAAAAACCTTTTTCTTCTGTACTTTTACCGAAATATATTTTCGGTAACAGTAGATCCATGAAAAACACAAAATTAATTAAGATTTAAACGATATAAGACTAAAGTTAAAGTATGATTTTATACTATTTGCATACCTCTATATATTGTTCTTCTTAAGAACTATTTTTCCTTTATTATCAGGTAATTATTTCTGTTTCCGCGCATCGCAAGATGCTTTCGCGGATTTATTTTGCTCGACATTTGACACTTTCTTACCATCGTCCACTGTCTCTCCTTCTTTTACTTCTTCTGCTTCTTCTTCTTCTTCGTGGATTCCGTGATTGGAATCGCTACGTGATTTACTCCTTATGTACGCTGCTAGACTCCTTCTTTTTGTTTCTCGACACAAGTGACAGGTCTCTTTCCTTACTTGATCAGGTTGTTCTGGAGGATATCGTTGCAACTGGGTCTGGTTTAACTTTCCTAAACAATAATATAGCACGAATCGTTATGTCTAACTTACCGCTTGTTACCGACAAAATTAATGTCTATGAAAATTTATCGTAATGATCATTCTATTTACAAATATTAAGTTTAGATCTGAGATTTAGATCGTGATTTTAATTATGAGTGATCGTATGGGAAATCTCGCGAAGATTGTAAGATATACCATATCTTCATACGGCAATAAACATTGCGCGTAACGTATAACCATAATTATTTACTTCACGAAAGTAGCAACACATAAATAACTGATAAAATCTATATTTAAAACTCAATTTAATGGAATGTATATTTTTTGCATTGAGATTGTAATCTCAATAGAGATTGTGAGTCCATTGTGTCATGTCACTTGTTTTGCTCTGGGGACATTTTTGTATCTTTGCTGCATATTCATATGAACTATTGAAAACATAATAAGAAAGACTAGATCGAAAATATTCTCTCCGATTCGACGGAGATCGCATATGTCTAGAGAATTTGCGTATTTTCTTTTTGCGCCAAGTTATACAAAACTTGCCAGTCAAACCGGTTTATTTATTCTTCGATACAACGGCTGGTTCAGAGTCTGCTAACATGAATATTTACAGCGTGATTTACAGCTTTCATTGCAAGCATATCAATGGCGCACCATGGGAGCGATAAAAATTCGTGATATTTTCCGAGGAAAACAGGTTTCGAATTCGCAAACCACTCGGGGAAATCGAGACATTTAACGTCGTTGTACGCAACGCATATCGCGGATTTGAAATCATATCGATATTTTAACTATTGTTAGATAAAACTACTGTTCTGACGAGTAAATTAAAGATGTTAATCAGAAAAAATAAACATAACATATTTCACCTACATCCTTTTACACGCAGAGACGTTACAATTATATGTTAAAACGTAATAATATCTTGTAATTGATAAACAATAATTTAATATCCTTAAGTTTCGAAGTATCTAAATAATATAGCTATTTTTTTACGAATTTTTCGATCGCCGAAACGACATATTTTTCGATATATATAACCGACGATTCACTCATAAATTCAAATTAACCGTCGCTCGATTAAACTACACATGTTTCGATTAGTTTCGCGAAAGTCTAATTTTAAACCAATTCAAGTACATTAAATATTTAAGCATCTTAAACATTACATTTTCGATATTAAAAATGTGTGGAACTTTTTACGTACCAATACTAATTAGTAGAGTTGACTAATAACTTCATTTGTTAATCTTTCATTGGGTGTGTATGTAAACAAAAAATACGTAATCCGCTACTTGTTTCGATAAACATCGCGACACGTGAGATGACCCCGTCATAGTGCTCGATACGTTAATTAGGAAAAAAATTCCAACCAAGAAGTACCGATATGCAATCTTGCACGTGTTCATCCGTGGCGTCAGACTGCATCTTTGAGACGGAAATTGTTTCGTATAAAAAAAACTCGAATGTATCATTGAACAGGTTTTGAAGCGTATAGCAAACAAATATCGGCGCGATTCTCGAGTTGTATTTAAACAATGATTGACTCGATACCGATGATTCATGATTCAAAGTGTCGGAAAGATTTTCCGCGATATCTGTTCAGAACCTCCGTTTATTGTTATTCGGATCAGCACAACCGAAATTTACCGAAATAGGGCTAAAACATTTGCCGAATTTGTTGAAACAAGGTTAACCCGCCCAGATTCAACTGGTCGCGCAAGTCATAGTTGTCACGTGATCAAAGAAGACAAACAATTTCAACGTTAATTTGAAATAAATTGACGATGAGGAGCAGGATGCAAAACGATACGCATCGAAAGATCATTTTCTCGGTTTAAAATGCGATTCGGGTCATGTAGAGTGTATGATAGCCTGAAGAAAAAGCAGCTAAAAATAGGCACGCGTAGGAACGTAGCATTGCATATGACGAACACTGCGAAGTCGGAACAACCAAAATTGTACAACGTAATTTCTTTTATTATGGTGATAAAATTAAAATGCTATTAAAATTGTATTAAAAAACATTCTATTAAAGTTCTATTAAAATCTTTATTAATGCGCTCTATTGAAATTATCTACATCATTAACTAATTGAATATTGTGATATCTTCGACAAGGATACACATACTATTATCTTCGCGATGCAATTATCGTTCTTTAATCAAACTGCATGGACGTAAATTCGTTTCTAAAGTAATCGTGCTATCTTATATCGCAACAGTAATTTTATCTTGGGTGTGTGTGTGTGTGTACACACACACACACACAACAGATATTTATATCTATAGCACAATAATACATATTTTTTGCTTGTTTTGCAGAATAAGATTAGATTCATACGCAAACGTAGATTGAAAGATTGTTGTCAGTATAATACTTGTTTTTTTCTGGGTGTGGAGAAATATACTGTCGGCAAGAGAGACCATAAACATAAACACGCGCATATCTCGAAGATGAGTATTCGCTATTGATAAGGCGTAATTATGTAACGCTTATTTGGTTACGACGCAACGTAGAAGCTGATGTGTATTTAAATATATGGTAATACGCGTCTATTTTTCTGACGTGAAGAGGAAAGACCGTATCTATTGTTTTTTTTTAACTCTTTTCGACAAACAACGATTAACGTCTACGTATTCACATGGACAAAAAATTACTTGAGTAAATCTCGCCACGTTCCAAAAAGTTGTTTATAAAAAAATAATACAGAGCTATAATACCATATGGCTGTAAGCGCGTTGGATATTATGATTATAAATATGATTTACGATATATAGAACTTACGATAACATTGTTGCTTTTGTCGTAAAATTTATTTGGAGAACATGATATATGTGGATATTTAGATACTCTCTCTAATGATACAACGAATATGTATAAATTTATGATAATACGACGGCAATTGAATATGCAGCCTATGTAGATAGAACTTTTACACGGTGTACAGAGGCATATTGATGAGGCATTGTGACGCACTTCTTTTGAATTTGGCATCAGACTTAGAAATGCACATGTAATACACGACGTAGCGTCGTCAACATTCTTGATTTATTCAGACAGACGATTGTATCTAGTGACGAATTGAAATCCCGATAATAGTGACTGCACGCAGTATGAATCCATAAAAATAACTTCATAAGTTTCTCATTAATCTTATTTATCATTGAGATATTTTCATTTGTAAAAGGCGCATGTGAAAAACAAAAAGATGAATGCTTTTTTTCTTTCTTATAAATATTCGTGAAGACCCATAAAAGTGAGTCTTAGAGTTTGCGATGTAATATAAAAGTAATAAATCAGAGTAGGAGCTCTCTTTGCCACTCTAATATGAATACGTGGATTTATGCAATACTATTAAGACTGTTATTTCAAGAATACGGTACTGTATTTGTTACTTTTATCATTTAATGATATTATTCTGTTTTGTTCGGTCTCTTATAACGTATCTCGCAAAGTATAAGATACGGCGCATTTTGACGCCGTACAAAGGTGGTTCTGTTGTTTACCGTAGCTTCTCTGCAGACTTCGAAGCATGGACGCGCGTGCGTTCGTTAGATCGAGCACCTCTTTATTCGTGTTGATAGATGCAACTTGCGTGTACACCTGAAGACGTCACAGTAGAACTAACAAACGATCACAATTTCTGAAATTTTCCCGCGATTTCCGATGAGAGTTTTCGCACACTGAGAGAAAAAAATAGTTGGAATAACTATAATCTCACTATATTTTATAGTTCGTTTTGGCCTCAAACATATATTTATAGTTCATCTAAACATGAAGATATAGTAGAATGAACACAGATTTATAGTCACCATCTTATTACTCTATATATATGGTAAAGCACCTTTTGGGAATATAGTTACATGTACCTATATTTGCCAAATATTCCAATTGTATTGACTATATAAAATAGTTAATTTCTCTTACCATTCAATAATATTTGCCACCTTACCATATTTTTTATTTCAAATAATTATAATTCTTGGTAAAAATTTTACACGGGTCAGTTATACTATACTTATATTGTAAATATTACAAATATTATGGTAACATTTACTATAAAAATTATATTCCTAACTATAATATTTTTACTATGCCATTATAGTTCCAAATATCATACATTTTTCTTTCAGTGCAATGTCCCCTCCCTCCCCCCATCTTTTCTAACAACTTCCACTCGTCTTGTCTTAATCGAGAAGATAATTTTTTCCGTAGATATTCCAAGAAAATTCGAGACAACCATCATGGTTCACTCGATTTGATAAATTTTCTTTTCAACAATTTTTCCTGACAATTTCTAATAATTTTTCCCCATAACGCAGATAATACTTATGATATTCTACATTTGCGTACGTTGTGTGTAAAAATACGTAAAAATTACTCATTTAACTCTACGAAATTAATGTAGTAATTATAAAATTAAATTTATTTTCTATTTATGTCTGATAAGTGTTTTGCATAAGACTTGCCAAGACCACACGAATATATAGATTACTAATCTTTTGTACGACGTATGTAATGTTTCTGTGAGGTTATGCGTATTTCTCACATTGATCTCATCTAATATCGGATATGAAATAATTTTAACCGCGGCTTCTCAATCAGCTTTAAAGCCAACTGTTCGTTAAAAAAAACAAGACGGTTATTACCTTCATAATTTTTTAATATCTCTTAATTTGATAATATATCTCATCTTTTTATCGTACATTAAATCTGTCGCAACGAAGAGAGGGTAATTTCCTCTCTAAATTCGTTAAGAAGCTTTGTGCTTAATTAGCAGTTGTAAAGCGTTATCTCTTGCTTCAATCGTTCTTGACTCAAATATCGTTGATATCTCAAGATTCTCGTTCAGGTAGAATCACGTCTAGATTAATGAAGCAATTTACATTTCAAAACAAACAATCGTGCTTTGAGACACCTTGTACGTTCGTCCATGAAAACATATTTATAGCGACTAAATGTAGATATAATTTAAACGAAGCGCCGTGCACCCGTCAATTATCATTTCCTACACTAATAAGATGTTATTATGTATACGTACACTCTGATAAGTAATCTATGATATAATGGACAATAACGTCGACAGTGACATATAATGAACAATTGAAAACATCGTTAAATAAAATGTCAAATGACAAAAAAGTTATACATAGAATTTTCTTTTCTGTGAATTTTAGAACAGACGTAAAAATAATCGCATGATCTTAATTTGCTCTAAAACTCATGAAACTGAAAAGCGTCGCGATCTTTTTGCCACAAACTGTTATCTCTTTTTCAGACAATTTCGCAGAGAAGAAAATAACGCTGCTACGAAGTGTTCTATGCAATTTGTTAGCATATAATTGGAGAAAGAAAGTGACTAATGTGCAAAGATGAAAGATTCATAAATCAAAATGATTCGTCGGACAAAAACTGAGAAGACAAAGAAATTATTTTAAAAGAGACGAATTGTATAAGCATTTTTTACCCACTGCATATATTGTGATATCTATATTCTGGTTCTTATCGGTCCTTCTGTTTCTACTGTGGATTTTACCGTTGTACAAATATGAACAGAAAAATTGTCCGCGTAATTTTTGGAGTTAGTTTGCAAGCTCTCCGTCTTGTTGGATCTCCTGTCCAATGGGAGATTCGTTTTCTAACGGGAGAATGATTCTATTGGGCAAGATACATAAGGTCACAAACTCATCCTAAATAGAACATACTAGAAGCAACCTTTCTGTTCACGTGTACATACATGACCTTTTTATCTTATTCACACTGTTATCACACAATTATGCATTATACTCACGGTTATGAAGGTACTCCTTGTTCCAAGATAACTCGTAGTCGCGGTATTGCGGACTCCTGAAGGATCCGTAAATAAACATCTCTGGCATATAGACAAGATCCATGATGTTCTTATCAACAAGTGGCAAATGTTAATCAGCAGAGATTTATCGCGTTCCTCATCGGCGACTCGCGCCCTCAGGCATTAAGTTTTTCTTGCCAGCGGGAAGCTGAATTTCTCCGTTCCTATGGAAGAGGAATGCCCATGTGAAATCTAGGCACTAATTTTTCTCGCTCATCGATGCTCTAAGCGTTAAACCTGTTGTCGTCGTGATCGCACAGCAGCCTCTCCGTCACTTAGTTTCTCCTTCTTTCTCTTTCGTTCTCTTCGTCGGTCTATTTTAAGATACGGCGTACTCTTACGTGCCGTCGCAACGTGCTCGCGCGAAAGAAGAATCAGCGATGCTTCGCCGATGCAGCGATGTGCATTCGTTGCTGATACGAGCTTGTGCGTACAACGAATACAAGACCGAACGAACGACGAAGTGGCGTCACCGGGTATTGACGATGTGCGTCACTTCGGTGCTCTCAACTGTCTCGACAGCAGAAAGAAAACGTAGAAAAAACGTAGTTTTTGCTGCGCAAAGTAAGGACGTAACGAGGTTCAAGAAGCTTCACTAAATGTGTTTTACTTTCAACTGAGGACGCGTGGACGCCGAACGTGCGTAATAATGTTTATCTGTTTCCCCACTCTCTCTGCTCCATCGCCCCTGTTCTTCCGCACTCTTTCTCTCTCTCTCTCTCTCTCTGCTCGCTCCGCTCGCTCCCTGTCCGATCCCTTCTCCATTGCGAACTTTTGTAACGCATCTTTCTGTCCTTCAGAAACGAGCGTAGGCTCGTTTCTCGTGGTGGATGCCCCACCTTCCGCTCCGCCAATCACCTTCACTGCGTTCTCTTAAATTGCGCGCGATTCGCAAAAGGTGTATGCGCGTGCGCGCATCTCGCACGAGTACGTGCGCACTAGCGCGTGTGCCACCTCCGCAATCTACGCCGTACTTCGTACGGCACTCAGGGGGCCTGTTACAGTTCTTTGACGAATTTACTCACTTTTCGTATTACCATCTCATGTGACATTGGTCACCAATTATGGAACTGTCGAGTGAAAATGTGAAATAATTAGACATTTCCGGTCTAATGATATCACATTTTCACGAAAAAGGTCGCCTATAGTGCACCTGATATCCAAAATAGGGCGATGGTACAAAATAAATCTCCCGACAACGGCAAAAAAACGGCTACGAGGGAAAGAAATACGCCGAATCATTACATTATTAGTTTGCAATAAATCGCTACAAGGAAAACTGAATTGTCAAAAAGAACAACAAACAAACCAACGGTCACCACATGTTTTAAACTCCACTGACCTTCATCAATGTCGGTAATAAAAGTAAATAAATAAATATAAATATATAAATATAAATAAATAAAAATAAATATATAAATATAAATAAATAAATATAAATATATAAATGTAAATATATAAATATATATATATATATATAAATGTAAATATATAAATATATATATATATATA